TGAAAACCAAGAAGCCCACGGTCGGCTGTTTTATTTCACTTCCAGACTGTTAAAAGTGTACACACAGGATCTCACAGTAGACTGCGGCTGCCAGCTATTAGTTATTCGAATGGTAGTGTACTGTCGTTTAAACCTTAAGGTCTTAGATTCAATTCTGCTTAAGATGGTAGATGTGTATTAATGAACAGCTTTGAACCATGATGATATCACTGTCCTATACTCCTTGGTCTTCAAAAGCTTTTTAAATTATCTCGATTTTTGTTGTGATTCCCAGCCTGATTTGTGTAGGAACTGATGGAAAAGATGAAATGAACTTAATTAACATGGTGGCAGGATTGGCATAAACAACCCTTGAAGATTGACATTAATCTAAACTATGCGTATCATTAAAATAAGTTTTTAAAAGGATATCTTTTTCTAAAAAAAACTAGTTAAAGCCATTAAAATAATGAAAAATTTAATGATAGAGAAAGTCTTCAGGGAACAAGGCAGATTTAAAGTTATTGATCAGGCAGGAGAAAATTTTAGGTGGGGTTAAGAAAGCGGTGAAGGTCAATTAGGTGTGTAGTATGCATATGAAACAAAAAAAGTTCTTGCATATACAATAAAGACAAGAAACAATACAAAGGGAAAGTTTAAAATGAGGGTTGGTTTACATGCTTTAATCTTGTGATTTATTTGGATTCACTTATCAGTATGAGGATATCTTCTATTTTCCTCTCATCTACTGATTTCCTGGTGCATAGGTGGAACACGGTGGTATTTGGTAGCAAGACTGTTTACATAGCAAAATTGATGTGCAGTAATGGAAAATTTAAGTACTGAAGAAAAGTAAAATTTAATTTTGCAAAAGTTATTTTTATTCTGCTTCTTTTATCTTCATTGCATGCTTTTCATATTGTTTCATAGGGATATTCATTCCTTTGCTTGTTTCATCTTAATCTATTGCTTTGCTATTTAATATTTCTTTTTTTTATAAGCGAAGTTATCAATGTACTACTTACAAATTCTTGACAGCGGCATAGGCCAAACTTCAGTAAAGTGGGGTTTGAGGGTACTTTACTTTACTTACACCCTGACCTTGGGAGTTACAGACACTCAGGAATAACTTGAGCGATGAGGCTCACTAAAGAATTGTAAAATTATTTAATATAAATCCGGTATATTCCAAAAATTAAGGTATGGTCTTTTCAAATGTCCCTCCATATAAGCCACAGTCTCTGACTTTTCAGTGATATTATTACAAGATTCTAACTTTTTCATATAATACTTGAATATATATATATAACAGTGGTCTTCAGTGAAATCCCAAGTATTCCTGTAGAAGAAAATCTTTTCCTAATTTGAGCAGGCACATAAAAAGCATTGGTGCCGGATTATATGAATCCATTTTGTTTGATCGGTTCTCACCAGCTGCGTACGACCTATAACACTTACTAAAACAATTTATAATACAATTTAAACATACATTTTGTTCATCATTATGAACCAGTTGTCCAGTAAAGATTATTGTAAGAAGGTTGGTGTTTTGTAATATACTACGATTTCCTTACAACGTTCCTTACTGGAGGACTGACTTATAAGGACAAACAAAATGTATGTTTAAAGTGTACTGTGACTAGTTTCATTAAATGTTGTAGATTGTATGCAGACGATGATAACCGACAAAATAAGGTGAATCAACGTTATTTTGCACGCATGATTGATTGTTCTGCCTGTGTTCAAATTTATAAAGTCGTATTTGTGTATGAACTTCTGATTTCCTGAATACACTGCAGTTTCATTCAGCAATTTTGTAGTGGTATTTTACTTTTGCTGTGGGAAAGAGTCCTCACCTCAAAAGTTTAACCGTAACCAGAAGGAAGATAATAGTGTGATATTTTAACCACATGATATTGGTTGGCAGTTGTAGATTCTGTGACTGTGGAACACTGAACTGGAAGTCAAAGAAATGGACTAACTGTACAATGTTAACTGTCAAATACTTTTGAGTGGTTTCTTAAATGGAAGTCACTTTTAGGCGTTCTTTGTTTAAAGCTAATTAAAGAAGTCTTTTTAATTCCATGGTTTAAAAATTTCAATCAAAGTAAAATAGCACATAAGCCAAAATTTGCATTTCATATTTTTAACCAAATAATTTACTTAGCATTGCGATAGGACATCATTAAATTCTCAGGAGCAATTAAACTTTTCAACATACATTTTAATTCATTTCTAGTCTGATGCTTTATTTAGGGATTATAGAGAGAATTAAAGTCAAACAATCGGATTATATCAGTCCAACTAAGTGATACTACAGGATTTCATCATTAGCTGACAATGGTTAGAGAACCATTGAAAAACCGAAGAGTACTGAACAGCTGTTTCTTCCTAGTTAGGAGGTCTTCATTAGTACACAACCACCAACGGGGTTCGAACCCATGGTCTCCTGGTTACAAGGCAAGCTCGTTGACCGTTAAGCCATTGAAACCTGATCTAGATGAATTCCAACTTTGTTAATTATTACCTAAAATAATTTTGAGTAAGATTTCTTGTTCATTTCTCTATTGAAATATTCTATCAACAGTCAGCGGTTATGGGGTAAATATTTCATGTCGACATACTCCTTACGCGTCTTTATGCATCCTTTTAAAACACGCTGCTACATGAAAGTGAGGTACATATTTTGTCTTTTGATTACCAGTGGTTTTATGGTTTGTTTTCAAGATTGTGATAAAGCAAAGCATTGATGTAGTTGAAGGGATTGTTCAAAACACTACAAGATAAAATAATGCAAATGGGAAAGATGCACACAGCTATGCTAACAGCAAATGCAATACGATGTGTAACGCAAACAGAAAGTGGAAGTCAATCCTTGACAGTGTAGTGAAAACTACATAATTGATTTATGATAGTATTGATGAAGTAACAGAGAAGATGAAACATATTTCCTAACTAATTATGAATAGTCATCAGTACAGTAATGATTACGTAACTTTGGTGTCATGGAATCACTGAATTTCTCATCGTCATTATAGTTGTATGATTCGGTGATAAGAAAAGAAAAACACATTTTTTTAAAGATTACTACTGAAAGTAGAAGAAAATTGATTTAATTTCGACTTACCCTTGATGTTGTTCATTGAAAACTTCATAATAATGTCATACGTCTACGCCTTCATTTGGTGCATACTGAATTTAGCTAGTCCAGTTCACAATGTGGTTACTGTGCTGGGTGACTAGCCAACATACTGCACCCTGAACTGTCGTTAGCTGTTTAGAGGCCATTAGCACGATGTCTTTGACCTAGGTTTGCACTAAACGAAGGACTAGACATGTGAAAGTATTGTCTACCTATCACATTTCCATAGGAGGTCAGTCATGGGTCCGAGCAGCTGAGTGGCAATATCAGTGACTTTACTACTGAATTCATTTTGTGGATTTATTTTATTTCATATGATTTCGTTAGCTGCATATAACCTGAATAATAAAAGACATAAGTTATCATTGTGACAGGATTTTTGGCCTGCTTTAAATGCATTGCTAGTTCATTTTGAAAGGGTAGAATAAAATTGGAAGTGCTTGTATAATCGTGTGAAGGGTTATCGAAAAAGATAACAGAGGGAACTTATTATTAAGACACTAATGCAAATTTATACGAAAGTAGTTTCGTAGTTTCGCCATAAAAACGAAATGAAAATGTCTCTGAGTTAAAGTAGAGTACGTGAGTTAGAGTATTCGGTACATGAAAATGTTGTGATAATCAAGTAACAGTCTTCTTTTGAATACATGGTTCTGGCTTTGCTCTTTGAATGGAATTAACTCTAATACTTTAAAGTACTTGTAAGGTGCTTTGCCTAAGAATTGCATTATAATCAACTTTTATATATTGATCCAGTGTGCTATGCCAGCCAAGCGCCGAGGTATGGCTCTGTCAAAGAAAGCTGAACCTTTGTGTTCAAAAGAGCTTTGTCCTACCCCTTTATCTCCAATAGCCTAAGGAGATTTAATGAACAAATTCGAACTTTTCACTGTTTTCCAATTCTTCACCCCTTTCATATACTTGTCATGTCATGTTTACTCAAACCTTTCCAGCATGTGGCCGAAAACCATTGTAGAAATTCGTCTCCTTCTCTCTTTCTTATGCACTGGCTTCCGCGTGTACTTATGAATTCTCAAGCGCGTTAACATTTACCGAGAAGTGGTTTAATCCGATATAAGTTATTTAACACTCTATTTTTTTAGAATAACCGATTTGATGACGAAAGCATGTTCAGTACAATTATATTATTATTATTATTATTATTATTGTATCCTTTAGTTCCTAGAGGAACATAGGGCTTCAGCTGCGCACCTCCATTGACTTCGGTTTTCTGACAACTTTTTCACCCTGCTCCAGGTCTGTCCACGTGCTTTCATCTCCTCCTCGCATGACCTCCTCCAAGTCACCCTTGCACTGACGACCAACTCGCCGCCTCCCTTTCGGGTTCCACTCGAGCAAGGGCTTGTCTAGTGATGTCACTTGATGGTTTCCTCAGCGTATGGCCAATCCATCTCCATTTCTTTCTGCCTATTTGTTTCACAATCGGTTCCTGATTGGTTCGCTCCCAGAGATCCCTGTTGCTGATCTTTTCTGCTGGCCATCTGATCTTGAGTATTGAGCGGAGACAGTTGTTAATGAAGGTTTGAAGTTTGTTTGAGATGCTCTTTATGACTCGCCAAGTCTCTGATCCGTATAGTAGCACTGACTTCACATTGGAGTTGAAAATCCGGATCTTATTTTTGATGCTGAGTGCTGTTGACCTCCACACAGATTTGAGAGTAATGAAAGCTTGTCTTGCTTTTCCGATTCTGGCTTTGATGTCCTCGTCAGTTCCGCCTGTAGTTGAGACGATGCTTCCCAGGTAGGTGAAGGAGGTTGTTTCTTTCAGGTTCTTCCCATTTAAGCTTATTGTGGTCTGTTGGTGTTGTTGATGTTGGCAAGGAATCTTCATTATCTCTGTTTTATCTATGTTCACGTGAAGTCCTATCTTTGATGCTTCTTCTGCCAACTTGTTACTTTTCACTTGCATATCTTCCAGTTTGTGGGAAATCAGACATATATCATCGGCGAAATCCAGATCCTCCAAGTCTTTTGTGTCAGTCCATTTTATGCCTGTTCCCTCGTTGGTTGCCGTTGTCTGTCGCATTATCCAATCAATTGCAATCAGGAAGATCATTGGTGATAGTAGACAGCCTTGCCTCACTCCCGTCCTCACTTCGAAGGCTTCCGTAAGTTTCCCGTTGTGGATTACTTGGCATGCAGCATTGTCGTATAACTGTTGGATGAGGTGTATAATTGTCGATGGGACCCCGTAGTAGCGAAGTAGTTTCCAAATGACCTCTCGATCGACGCTGCGCTGTCGAAGGCCTTTTCAAAGTCGATGAAGTTGAGATAGAGAGGTGACTGCCATTCCAAGCTTTGTTCAATGATGATCCGTAGAGTGGCGATTTGATCAATACATGATTTGTTTCTCCTGAATCCGGCCTGTTCCGGACGAAGTTTTTCATCTAGGGCTTGTTTGATTCTCTCCAGGATGATGCGACAATAAATACTACGAATTCATAAGGGAGTTACCAAGGCACACAAGACTAGATATGTACCAACAGACAAGAAGTCTAGGTCAAGCAGATTAATTTACTTAGTAAAAAATATCATAATAATTTGGACAGAAATGTCTCAGCAGTAAACAAAATTAATATTCCAATTTTACAATCAACATTTGGGATTTTCATACAGCCGATTCCCTTTATTAGTTTGAATAAGGAAATAACAAGTATATTTACGGAATAATTCAAACTCATTTCATCTCCTAGATTCTCTTCAACTGAGTACATCATAAACAAAATCAGTTATTAATTTCAAAATTTCTGAAACTTCTGTTCACAATGAACTCGAGTCATAGGTAGAAAGTATAGGCAACAAACTTTCAAAGATAATGTCAGCACACGAATTGCTCAGTGTTGAAAGAGTAACTACTTATAGAATAATTGGACAGGAGGGGTCGAGTTTAGATTTCGCTTTGAAACAAGGATGGACTAGAAACAAAATACTAGATAGAACAACTCAGTGAATTCATACATATTATAATGGAGATTTCAAGAGTATTGGTGGGGTGAACAGTGAAGTGAATTTATAAAATTTATAAAAGAATTAAATTTAGTAGATTTAGAACCTTATCAGTGAGTTGAACTCAGTGAGTGGAATGTTATGTAGTCGGAGCAAAATATAAAAGCACACGAACAAAACAATTTTGGATTTTACAAGTAGTTTCTAACTGGCAGAATTTATTTTTGGTTATTGTGATTCTGTACTTTGTTTGAGAATCTAATTACTGTGAATATTTTAAAATGTATTAAGATAACTTTGTATAACAGTCAATAGAAAATGTTAAGAGTTATTACATATCCACTGAATTGCCTCAACTTCCGGTAGTAATAAAAACCAATGTGACATTAGTTACATTTAGACGTAGAAAGACTGCACAATCACTGTAGCATTATTTTCTAGTGAGATAATTACTATGTATATTTTAGGTTGTATAAATGTTAAGTTGCACTGTAAACTAAGTTGTAACAGTTCTTCTTGAACGAAAAAAAAAATCACCCACATAACTTCTTTTCGGTTGAACAAAATGGATAGTTGCAAATATGGGATACTGACAGAGGCAGACTGGTAAAGCGAAACAGTTAAGCATTTCTAGTTTACGGTTGATTAGATTGTAAGTAAGTATTGACCACTACAAGTCGTTTTTATTAAGTTTAGTTTCAAAATCTATTCGACATTGTTAGCCTTTCGGAAACAATATAACAGTTTCACACCATAGTCGAGCTGTAGCTGTTAGTTCATTAAAACGACTAATAGCAAGACTTGTTTTCAAATAGAGTTGGTTTGTTTTCAAATCTGTTAAATGTTTGTTAAATGCATTACACAGGTATGATAGAGAAGATTTGTAGCTCAGGTGGATGATTTTGATGTAGTTTTGTTCTCTGAGCTGGATGGTTAGTTTGCGAAGCTTTCATCACCTTACTGGGTGACATCTTCAGCGCATACTTCAATTTGAAGTGAGCTTTTAGATTTCTCCACGAGTTTATTAATCATCTCTCCTGGTGACCTTGGACGTGATTGGTTGTTTGTGTGTGTTTTCACACCTTCTAGGTTACTTGTATTGGAAGGTGTGAAAACACACACAAACAACCAATCACGTCCAAGGTCACCAGGAGAGATGATTAATAAACTCGTGGAGAAATCTAAAAGCTCACTTCAAATTGAAGTATGCGCTGAAGATGTCACCCAGTAAGGTGATGAAAGCTTCGCAAACTAACCATCCAGCTCAGAGAACAAAACCACATCAAAAAGCATTACACAGGTAAACAGTATTACTATTCACTTGATAACCTAACAAATACAGTTTATTTCCTCATGAAAATATAACGTGAAGCGTCAACATTCAAGTAGTAGTGTTATTTTAGAAAAAGATTCCTCAATTTCTGCAAGAGATTATTTCCATGTTTATTTAAATAAAAGTGAGAGCTTATGCTTACAGAGTCATCCAAGTTAGTGGCAAAATAGTGTTTTGAAGTATGAATTTAAGCATTTGGTGATGTTAAAGTTGTTATCGAGTTTTAAGATGAGTTTGTAAACTTAATTAAAATATAATTTTGCTTTTTACTTTGTTTAGCCACCCATCGTTGTACTGAATGTTTCAGTGATAGAAGCTAAAAACCTGGAGGCAAAAGATTTAAATGGTAAGTATTCTAAACGTATTGTGTTGAACTTTAAAGCAACTGGCCAACTGAGATAACAGTTTTTGTTTTGTTTTCATCTTTGGAGTGAACTCCAGATTATGCAAATCTCAGCGTTCAGATTTAGATTCAGTCAATGCTTCTTTATGAAAGCCTAAAGTTTGCAGATCATAGTGATTTGTATTAATTTATAGTTTTGCCAGTTTTATAAATTTCATAGTTCAATTTCACAATTTATGGTCTCTGTTTTCATAAAACAATAATAATAATAATAACTATTGTATTTCAAGAATTAAGGTTCAGAAATATTTCCTTACTGGCTAAAAGACAAATAATAAAAAAAAATCAAAACTCATTTAAGTTTACAAAGTGTGTATTCATGTGAAGTTAACCAGGTCATCGGAAGGAATTACGCTTTCATTTTATGGTTACAATTATTGCTTTTTGTTTAAGGATGTTAGACAACACAGATTGTTGAAGGTGAATAGTTTGATTTCAATCTTTACTAAAAATTTGTAAATCTCAATTGATGCAGGGAATAAACTATACAAACAGGTGGTAGTTGCAGTATTTTATGAATATTTGAATTAAGGAAAGCTGATAAATGAGAATAAAAATAAAAATATTTATAAATCGGTCTCGCAGGCTCACCTAATGAGTCTGGAGTTTCGATCGTTAGGTTATTAAGCGATTATAACATATGACATACTTCAGTAATGGATAGCATAATTTATTCAGGAAATAAATATAACTATGTAATACTGTCATTATGCGTACACAATAAATATACATTTTCTATTTTTGACCACGGATCGATATCAGTTAGAGAACCATTAAAAACCGGCAGGAATTACTGGATGACTGTTTCATCCTAGTTTGTGACTCATCGGTAGTATGCATCCACTGGGGTTCGAACCCAGGACCTGCCGGTTACAGGACGGAGTTCCTTGAGTTTTAGTGAGAGGTCGTAACCAGTCAGGTACATTCAGTTCGGAGTGAGGATAGAGTTCCCACCGATGATTTTGATTATTGGTCGCGCTAAAATCACGAATTGGTAGAAGTTAGAGTTCATGGGCTGGCCACTGAACTGAGTCCCAAATAGCTGAATGGTATACGAGCTTGCACTGTAACCAGAAGGTCCCGTGTTCGAAACCCAATGAGCGCCTACTACCGATGAGTAACAATTTAGGACAAAACACCTGTCCAGTACTCCCTGGTTTTCAGTGGTTCTCTAACTGATGTCGATTCGTGGTCAAACTTGAAAAACTAATCAAGTCCTTGCAAATAAAATCTTGAACATATATATATATATATATATACATATATGTTGCAAAGCACATTGTAGATATGATAGAAAAGATTAGTGGCTTCAGTGGATGACATTGATGTGGTTGTGTTCTCTGGACTGAATGGTTTAATTGATAAATGAAGTGTGTGCTCAGGATGTCGTACAAGAAAAATAGTAGAAGCTCCTCAATCAGATCATCCAGCTGAGAGAACACAAATGCGTCAACAAAGTTCATTGTCTTGTTAAAGTTATAAATTTTATTTGTTTACAATGTGCAGCACCTTTCCTGTTCTGTGAAAAGTAGATTTCACTATAAACTATTATTATTTACACATATGTTGAAATATGAAGGTTACCACTCACCTATTTTTCAATATACAGCGGAGTGTGTCTACATACGTACAAAGAACGAAATGTTCAGCTGTAAAATTTAGGTTGCACATTTCACCACAAAATATAAAAAAGTATTACCACACTGCTCAAACAGTACGATGAGCAAAGCAGCACTAACATGCGAAACCTAACCAAGTTGATAAATGATTAGCTATGCGAATGTGTCTACCTGTATTTAATTTAGTAGTATAACTTCAACAATGCGCAGTATTAAGTAACGTTAGTATTCCTTAGAGAATATTTGTAAAAACTAAAAGCTATAATGCTGTTTATTACAATGGTAGACAAGTAATATAAAACTATTTTGATAAAGGCACATAACTCAGAGTCTTCTTTTTTCACTGTATTAATGTCGTTGAATATACATATATAAATTGTCCTTTTAATGACTATCATTAATGAGATAAGAATGACAGACCCAAATATTCAAATGGCAATTATTCTAGCTGAAAAATAGAATTTTAGCATTCACTAACTGGAATATATTTTAATGTAAGATTAGTTAGGAAACTAATTTCCATATTTAATTTCTTTTTTAAAAACCTCAACAATTACTACTTAAAAAATGAAGTATATATTTCTGTAAGTTGAAGGATTACAATAACTGAACTGAAGGAAAAGTAGAAGATGATATGGTGGGGATTTTGTTTGTACAAACCGCATGAATTATTGTAATACCAGTATTTGTATGAAAAGGACTGTATCACTGCATAATAATACAATTGATTATATAGTAAACATAAAAAAACAGAATGAGAGACTTCCTATTCATAAAGGAATTGGGCATGTGTATAATTAGTTAATTAGACAAATGACGTATACACAAAAGAAGACATATAAGCGAACTTGATTAGTTTCAATTAGAGTTTCTTCAGGCTTCGTTCTAATTTACATAGCTTTATATATGCACATAGTATCAAGTAATGACGGTGAATTTTCGGGTCACTGAGAGATGTTATAGGGTGTCAATATACTGACTATAACAGTCATAATAATAATACCAATGATAACAACGGTACAAGCACTTGACGCATATGGGAAAGAGAATAATGCAAATAACCTGATAATTGAAGAAAAAATTCACTAATTGAATTAGGTCGGAAACTTATTGTTCTATAAGTTACGCAATGCCGAGTGTGAAATGAATAGACAATTGAATTTTGAATAAATATGATATGATAATTGTGTGAAAGGGTTGGAGAAAAGGAGAGCAGTGTGAGAAGTTTTGATTAGTTTATTAAGTTTATCTAGACCATGGAGGGAAAAAAATCTGGAACAAACTTCTTTCGAACTCAAAGACTAAGGCTTTTCCAACTAATTCCCATAGCTTCAACTGTATGCAGTAGGGTAAGAATTCCGTTCAGAATGTTAGATGGAATACGTAAAAACACCTATGAAAACAGTCTTCCTGTTGTCAACTTTGTGAACAAGACCAGTCAAATGAGGTAGAACACACTGCTTAGTCGAGAAAATTCGTATTTGTAGTCTTTCACAGACCTTTCTGACCTATAGTCGACCATTCCGGGGGCTAACTGGCAATGCTTTTGTCAAGCTGGAAATATCTTTTCACAATATAGAAACGTAGAAAAACAATGAGAGCTCTGAAAATGAGTTCGTTAGTAGTCCTGAGGTGTGGTCATACTTGATAGCAGACCAAGATTTATGGCACTGCCAGTTACGAGGCTTGAAAACGCTTAATCAGTGAAAAGTATTAACTTTTTTGAGAAAAGCTAAGGAAAAGACATTACGATAGTCAAGGATTAATCTTGTGATATTCCAGTGACTTGAAAATAACCAACCAACAACAACAACAGCAACATCCAGCGTCAATCACCATCAACGGGAGGGATTTGAAAGAGGTTACTTCATTCACTTACTTATATAGGGAGCATTGTCTCAACCACAGGAGGAACGAACGAGAATGTCAAATCGAGCGAGAATCGGGAAGGCAGGCAGGCGAGAAACACATTCATTCGTCAACCTGAAACAGTCAATCTGGAAATCTTCGTCACTCAGCCAGAATCAACAACAAAATTCGGTTGGGTTTTCAATACAAATATCAAGTCAGTTCTTTCCATACCGATCAGAAACTTGGCTCGTGGGTCACAAAGAATATTTCCAACAGCCTGTTGCAGACCAGACTTTTTATCAACAACTGTCTTCGCTCTATACCGGAGATCAGATGGCCGGACCGGAAAGAATCACCAACAAGAAACTATGGGAACAAACAAAACAAGAACAACACAATCGCCCAACAAATATGCATGAGAAAGTGGAGATGGATTGGACACTCGTTGAGGAGGCCGCTGGGTGACATCGCGCACACGTCAGGCCATTGCTCGAGTGGGACGTCAGTGCAAGGGTGACATGGAGGAGATAGTGTGAAGAGGAGTTGAAACAGTATGGGCTAGCATGGATGGCGGTGAAAAGTACAGCAGAAGGAAGACAGAAGCAAGTGGAGACGTGCAGTTGAAGCCCTATGTTCCACTAGGAACCTAAGGGAACAATAATAATAATAATATTACAGTGACTTCATAAGTCAGCTCTATCCCATACTAACTTCATACTTTATTTTTTGTTTGCACTTCCCTCTGCAGTTCCTTTTCTCACACTACTGTTTAAATTGCACATTTTTTATTTTTTCGTCCTGCTGAATAGAATTAATCCTCATGTTTCTACGCTTTTATGGAAGGTAATTACTGTTGTTTAAAATAAGTTCTTGACTGAATAAGCCGAAAATCTTTATTTAGCCCGTTGAATTAATGATTATTTTGCTGTTTTCATGAAATCAAAAACAAAACATGGTATTGTTTCACCTGTCATCTTCCTACTTTCTTGCCAACAGAGTTATAAAATCGGAAAACTTTTGCCTTTAATCTACACTCTGACAAAGCATTACTAGCATTCTGTGTCACTTAGAAAGCAGTCTTGTTTTGATTTTCATTTATTTAAAAGAAAAAAACCCACACTAGGAGATAATGGATAACCGTGAATTGCGTCATCGGCATTATGTTTAAATTTAAGCCTCAGACATAAAAACAGTGACTACTTAATTAATTTAAATGAATATTTTACGCTTGCGTGTTTTTAAAAGTAAGGTAAAAAACAGTGGCTTTATACAACTAAGCGTCTGACACACAAATTGTGATGGCTTGCATACCAAATAGAAATTGCTATATCTGTTTTCCTTAGACAACCAGAAGCATATACATTAGTGATGAAGTGTTAAAATTAGTTGGTCATTATGCACTAACACTAGTGACATCTTTTCCGTTCGTCAGAGTTGCCTGGAATCTTTCCATTGATTTCGTAATCAAGTCACAAAGCTGGTCGAATGTTTATTCCATTTATTGTAAATAATATTTGACGCCATAGGAGACTTCTTAAAGCTATATAGTTTAGTGTTATTTATTGCTAATATAACGCGGAGTGGTAATTAAGTAATGAATTTAGCAAAATGATGATTTTGAGAAAATTTTACAAACTCAGACTTATAAGAAAATCCAGTCAAAATTAGGGCATTTATAGATAATGACTTCTTAAATTTATGCGCTCATTAAAAATTGCAGCTTCTATCCTTTAAATGTGAATGCAGCAATTTAAACAAAGACAAGAATTTCTAAACTCAATTCCTTTTTTTAATTTGAAAAAGGCAAAAAGCGGAGCTATTTACAGAGTGGAAAGTGATCAATATAATAACTGACCGGCAGCGGTCTAAAAATGACTTACATTATTATAAGCAAGTGTAAATATATAAAACCACTCAAAACTACTTCGACTAGAAAGGTATTTAATAATTCTTTAGACAGTAATGAAACAAGAAGAATAAACGTAGGAAACTTAGTGTTGACAGCTAAAAGAACAGTGTAAAGATGATGTAAAATTAGTCGCAATGATAAGGCTGCAATCTTTTGATAACAATGGCTTTAGTTGGAGGAATTTCGAAAATGTTATATTTTCTTACTAATATGTACCATTGTGTGACTTTTTGGTTGTTTGTAGTTGGAGAAAAACTGTGAAATACCACCGTCTGCTTTATCTTGGGTTTTATATTCATTGCTAATCGATAACGACTAATGATTAGTTTCCAAGTGCTGGTTTTTGGCAACTTGACTGATTCTTGGAGTTCTGTAACAACAGAAGACAAGAACCAGGCAACAGATCGTTTATTATGGAAATCATCACATATTTATAGATTTTCATGTACATATTATAGATTATTGTTAGCAGAAAAGCACAGTCCTCTGATTGGTTGTTTCTTACAGAAAGTTGACCTTGCATTTCTTTGTGACTGTTTCCTGAATGTCAGATCATTTATATGTTAACTGTATCCGCCTATGCAAAGCCTTTCTTCTCATTTTTCTGACGACCAGTATTGGGGACATAAAGATTGAGATAAATTACTGTCCACCAATTTTGGCTAACAGCCACCTCTCACCACACTTCTAGTGATAAGTCATAATCCCCACTGTCCATAGAAATGGGTAAGAGGACATATACTCGCTGACAACTTTGGCTGATGTTGGCGCTTGGTACTGCGAACTGGCAACATTTAAAACTCACGGGATATTAGGTCGCATACCAGTGTCTGAGTGTTAGTGTGATTGTAATTTCAAATTCTAACCCTCAGTGAGTGTGTACTGCTGAAATATCCCGAAGTGGCATAAAACGGCTATCTGATTTTCTATATTTCTCTACCTGATATTCGTGAATCTTTAGGTATAAAGCCAAGTATAAAGTCTTTTAAAGTCAACCAAATCCATACAAACCAACACTTGAGAACTTTTTTTGCACATACAAAGTTTTTAAGAATGGTTTTGTGTCTTTTCCACTGTCTTATTTCATACTAAGGTGTGCGTAAACTTTTATTTTTCAAATAGGATTTAGTGATCCATATTGTATCTTGGGAATCGTATTCGGTCGTTACTTTGGACAAAACGAAAAATCCATCGTTTCAGATGCTTGCATCAATAGTTCAACCACAGTGACAGGTCAGAATGATACAGATAATATACACGCATCGAGTTCGATTCCTGTATCAGGGAGAAAGGGAATAGATAATAATAGTCGAATGACACTTTCCCGTTCATCTTTCCGACGTTTCGGTCGGTCATTTCGCAAGCATACAAATATGAGTGATAAGGGACAAAATGTCCACAGTGATTTGCAAAAGATTTCTGGTTCTAATTGGTCAAAATCTGTGGCAAATAAAGAAGGAAATATTCCAATCGGTGTAATGAAATCAACTCAAGTTAAAGAACAAACATTGAATCCTGTATGGAATGAAACATTTCGACTGTAAGTCAATTTTTCGGTTTAATATTATTTTACATTCGCTGTTGGAATAATAATTTATTGTACTCTCTTTGCATCGGACTTTCAACTAGTAGTATAACCCAAGAAGTATTAAGAAGAGTCGTACAGTTGTAATGGTAAAAGACAAGAGACTTGGCAAATGAATGTTTATTTCGAACTTAGTATCTCTATATGGCAAAATCATGCACACCTTATCTTCAAATCATCATTTGCACAGATCTTCTGAGTTGTGCTGCTTCTGTCCTTCGTATTGTGTTTCTTTGTCCTCCTTTTATTGCCTCCTGCTTTTCACGGCAACGGTGAATAATTTGCTTTCGTTGACGTCAAATCTATCTCTTCACTATTTGATATTATTATGCCGATGGACATCTCTTCATTCAAATATATATATATATATATTTACTGATGAATCTTGTGAGTAGCACACGCCACACGACTACATTGACGAAATATATTGCTTGCGTTAAAAAGTATTCTTGTCTGTCATCAGAAAATCCCTGTTATATAAGTAAATTACACTATATAACTGAAAGTACATTGTATTTTATATATGTAATTCTATTTTAGTTTGAGACGTCTAACAAGACAACATCATTTGACATCATAAGAATTTTCTAGAAAGACATTTTGCATTTACATTAATGGAAAAGTGGACTGAGAAATAAAGACATAAAATAATAATCCAATAGACTTATTACGTCATGAACAAAATCTTTATTGTCAGTTGCCACACCCTTTCAAGAAATGTTAGTCTATAAAATTCATAGCTTTTTAGAAAAAGCCTAATTCACTTGTTAGACATATCTGATTAAAAGAAGTATACAATCATGGCGGCAAAACTAAAGTTTTGGTCTGATATTCACATTTTTAGACGCCATATTTTACTGAATGTTAAGGCGAAATAAGAAACTGATTGGTGAAAAATTTACAGCTGGATTATATCAGAAGACCGTTTCTTTATGATATAAATTTTTTTAGTTCGTATTCAACTGTCAATATTGTTTAAATCAGATGACAAAGGATAACTGTTTATTAATTTATTAGGATATGAATGATTTGAAGCCCAGAAATGGTTTAAGATAAGAAAGAAAAGGCTGTTGAGATGTGTGAAACACTAGTGGTGAAATACAGTTAGGTGATACTCAAGTTTTTTATTCAGTGTAAAAAAGTCAAAAACAAAAAGATGTTCAGTAGTCGGGACATATTAGTAAATTATTTGAGTTCCTATGGAAGTGTCATTAGTTCCGCGAATATTCATGAAAAAGCTGCTAATGGTGCGATCTGTTACCTTTCCGAAATAGTGTTGTGTGTTTAATCCTTAACTTTAAATGATATGATCCGACAAAGGTAGTCTAAGATGCTCCAGATCCCTCTGTAGATCAGCATGTTTCGCAAAACGAGTATTTGTCTCTTTTTCGTGTGCTAAGCCAAAGGAGTTTCTGTCGGTCATATGAAAAACAACAAGGGTTTTGTTTCACTGATAGTGACAGTATACCCTTACTTACTAGTGATACACATGCAAATATACAATAAAGCCCTAAGTTCGCCGGTGTTTTTGAAACACAACTATTTCGGTTAGACAAGTTTTCTCTCGTTAACACTATAACAGCGATTATAAGCTCATAGAAACGTTTTGGCTAAAGATGGCAGACTAAAATACACCGTAATAATGATTTTTGTTTTGTCTCCACTAACAAGTAAATAACAGCCGATATTTTTAGCAGGTGTGATTCTTATTGATGCGTGAATCACTCAAACTACATACCTGAGAGATTACGTTTGAATTCTCGTTTAATATTTGTCAAATTTGATTGAGAAAAATATGGTGTAAGCATAACTTCTTATCGTACAGAAAGTTAACAGCTGTTTATGAGAGAAAAATGTGCGTGTTTTCTATGTTTGATGCACACTGTGAAAATCAACGATGAAGGAAATACGCCAAATCAGATCATTCAATTTGTTCTTTAAACGGTAATAATTGGTATTTTTGTGTGTCATCTCATGAAATAGAAAGCCATGATTACTGTCGTAAAGTTTATTCCAAAAAAGAAAGAACGAACACATTTACAGAATAATTCAAACTCATTTCATCTCCTAGATTCTCTTCAGCAGAGTACATCATAAACAAAATCAGTTATTAATTTCAAAATTTCTGAACCTACTTCCCACAATGAACTCGAGTCATAGGTAGAAAGTATAGGCAACAAGCTTCCAAAGATAATGTCAGCACACGAATTGCTCAGTATTGAAAGAGTAACTACTTATAGAATAATTGGACAGGAGGGGTCGAGTTTAGATTTCGCTTTGAAACAAGGATGGACTAGAAACAAAATACAAGATAGAGCAACTCACTGAATTCATGCATATTATGATGGAGAGTTCAGGAGTGTTTGTTGGTTGAATAGTGAAGTGAAATTGTAAAACAGATAAACTAATTTATTTCAGTAGATTTGGAACCCTACCTACACTCCTAAACTCCCCATCATAATATGCATGAATTCACTGAGTTGTTCTATCTTGTCTTTTGCCTCTAGTCCATCCTTGTTTCCGAGCGAAATCTGAGCTCAACCCCTCTTGCCTAATAATTCTATAAATAGCTACTCTTTCAACACTGAGCAATTCGTGTGCTAACATTATCTTCGGAAGTTTGTTGCCTATACTTTCTACCTATGACTCAAGTTCATTGTGGGAAGTAGTTTCAGAAATTTTGAAATTAATAACTGATTTTGTTTATGATGTACTCTGTTGAAGATGAAACGAGTTCGTATTATTCTGTAAATATGTTCCTTCTTTCTTTATTAAAATAATAATGTTTGATAGTATCATAATTTCTATTCTTTAAGAGCTGTCGTAGAGCTAAATACATTTTTTTACCAGATAATTATAACAGCAGAGTTTTGAGAATAATTTCATTAGTGTTCACCAAGTATAACAGTGTCACATCAAACACTTGCATATTGTTGTGCGATATACTTAAGAAAAGGGGATATTTATCATTTATAGCTTAGAGTATGTGTCCTTTGTCTGTTGAACATATTTAAAATTGAAGTTTTTCGGACTATTTGGTAGAAAGAAAGAATGAATTCTTAGAGACTGCAGATATCTAGTACCGGAAGGCGGGATTAGATGTTAGATGCTGAACATCAAACGAACTGATACTGAGCAACTAATTTAGCTTTATTATGCAAGTATTTAAATAAATTTTATATATTTTAGTTCATACACATAAAATAAAATCGTCTCCACCATCCTAATTATAAAAAAGATTGCAATTTATCCTTTTTTCTGTCTGTTGTGGATTGACACTGTCTCGATATATTTTGATTTCGTGTAAATTACCAAAGATTTTCATTTGGTTACATATGAATATATACATGCATGCATGCGTGTAGTTGATTAGTTAAAGATTAGTTGAAAATCAGGTCAGACGATGGTGAACACACATTTCTTTCTCATTATTATGCAATTAGACTTACATATTAATGTAAAAGACGAAGAATGGAGTTCTTTTATATAACTTAAACACAGAAATAGACGAAGAACTGATCGTTCACACTGTCAGTACTCAGTGAATGTGGTTTGATTTATTGCTAGTCACCGGTATTCAGGTTTCAGAGTTGTTTGCGTGATTAAAATATACATGTGCAGTCGCAAATGCACAAACTTCTTTCATGGCTTTCGTGAAAATGTGTTACATTTAACTGGCGAAAATGGTTTAGTAATGGTACTGTCAACAAAATGAAATAAGCGTATATTTAAATGACAGACAAACAGTTATGGAAAACATGTTTCCTCAGTTATACTTGGAAAATGATTTTAGGTAATATCAATTTTCATTCTCTCAATAATTATCATTCTACTACATATTTTTTTTTATCCAAACTTCCTGTTTGTTTTGTTAGTAATACTTTTTAATTCCTTACTTTTTAAATCTTGTTATCTGATTAATTGTATTCTCTGAGGTGGTTGATTCAATTGCGAAGCTTTCGTCGTCCTCCTTCTAGACAACCTTCTCTGAAGATAATGTCTAGAAGGGCGACGACGAAAGCTTCACAGTTAAATCAACCGACTCAGAGAACACAACTAATTCAATATCATCCATATATGCTGGGGACATCACTCGTACCAAATTCCCATGAAACTTCATGAACTCTCTTACAAATTGCCGCGCCTGGGCAGCGATGATTCGAGACGTTCATGAAGCCGGCTCATCCTCCCGTAGGAGATAGCCGAAGTAAAGTAAAGTAAAAAAGTATATGAGCCACATCTCTTCTCCATCATTTTAAAATCGTGTTATTTGTTATGACAAGAAAGAAATTTTTTTGCTGTAACCGTTTAAAGAAACATTTTTCCCATTTCCGCCATTATTCACGTTAATAGATTAGGAAGGCAATACCAATAGACAATTATATGCATTCTACTTGGTCTATAGGTAAACCCTTTGTGATCATTACGCCGACATACTTAACGCACTTGATAAGTATAGTTAGGAATTTTATAAGGAATGAATCACTCAAGTGAACTCCATTTCTAAGGTCACAGACTGATATTTTTATGTTCCGTCCTACTGATGTTCATTCAGGTTAAAGTAAACCTTTATCTTTATAATGTGTATACACCCATCTTCATTAGCTGAGAGATGACTTTTACTAATGAAATAGTTTAAGTGCAAGATATCAGTACCATGATAGGATTTTGATATTAGAAGTTGAATAAAATGTTTCAGCTTTTTCACGAAAACTAACATAAGAAATATGAAACAGTATTCTGAGGCACCTATGTCTTGTTTTCAATAGTTTGTTTGTAAGGGATAGATTTGTTTCTAGGAGTTTGATCACGGATTGATATCTGTTAGAGAATCATTGAAAACCAGGGAGTACCGGACACCTGTTTCATCCTAGTTTTGGAATCATGGGCAGTACACCAGTGCGTACTGATGTCAGACCTCAATCCGTGATCAACTCTTAAGACTTATGTCTTAG